GGCTTATGACTTTTCAGGGCCGGATTTGGGTATCGTTTGTGGGCGGTACGCGTACTACGTTGATGGAGGAAGCTCATAGATCGAAATTTTCGATCCACCCCGGGGCTACAAAAATGTATTTGGATTTGAGGAAAGAGTATTGGTGGCCTTGTATGAAGAGGGACGTCGCATGGTTTGTCGAGAGGTGTTTGACCTGTCGAAGGGTGAAGGCCGAGCACCAGAGACCGCATGGAAAGTTGCAGCCATTGGAGGTTCCCGAGTGGAAGTGGGAACAGATCACTATGGATTTCATCACCAAATTACCGAGGACCGCCAGAGGAGTCGATGCAATTTGGGTGATTGTGGATAGGTTGACGAAGAGCGCTCACTTTCTTGCCATCAGTGAGAGTTCTTCGGCAGAGAAGTTGGCGGAGATTTATGTGAGGGAAGTAGTATCTCGGCATGGGGTGCCGATCTCGATTGTTTCGGACCGTGATGTGCGCTTCACTTCCTGATTCTGGAAGAAATTTCATGAGGAGTTGGGTACTAAGCTGCATTTTAGTACCGCATACCACCCCCAGACAGACGGCCAGAGTGAGCGGACGATTCAGATGCTTGAGGACATGCTTCGAGCATGTGTATTGGATTTTGGGGGTAGCTGGGATACGTATTTACCCTTGGCAGAGTTTTCCTACAATAACAGCCATCATTCGAGCATCGGTATGCCGCCCTTTGAGCTGTTGTATGGTAGGAGGTGTAGGACTCCCATTTGTTGGGGAGAGGTTGGGCAGAGAGTGATGGGCAGTACAGAGATCGTGATTCAGACGACAGAGCAGATACAGCAGGTCAGACAGAGGTTATTGACCGCCCAGAGCCGACAAAAGAGTTATGCGGACAGACGCCGGTCCGAGCTTGAATTTCAGGTCGGCGACTTCGTTATCCTGAAAGTTTCTCCTTGGAAAGGGGTGATCCGGTTCAGGAAGAGGGGCAAGTTGGGGCCCCGGTTTATAGGTCCATTTCGTGTGATTGCAAGGGTAGGCCGGGTAGCCTATCGGTTGGAGTTGCCAGCAGAGTTGGGACAGATTCACAACACTTTTCATGTATCGCAGTTGAGGAAGTGTATAGCCGATGAATCGGCAGTGGTTCCGTTAGAGGATATTCAGGTAGATGCAAGCCTGAATTATACCGAGAGACTAGTGGCCATCAGGGATCGGAAGATCAAGGTTTTGAGAAACAAGGAGGTACCTCTGGTGTTGGTTCAGTGGCAACATCGGAGGGGATCAGAGATGACCTGGGAGCCAGAGCGTATGATGCAGGAGTAGCACCCAGAGCTGTTTCTAGAGCGAGACTACGAGGGCGAAGTCTAGTCCAAGTGGGGGAGAGTTGTAACAGCCGGATTTTATCAGGTATCTTGTTAGTTGTATTTTGTTGTTTTGTAAGGGGGACTCGGCGAGTTGGAGCTCAGACTCGCCGAGTAGGGACGCGGATTTGGACGCAGGATCGCGCCTGGACTCGACGAGTCCAGGATATGGACTCGGCGAGTCAGCGCTGTGTAATGAAACCCTAATTTCTCGGGTTTGAGACTTATTTAAAGGGCCTAATGGCCGTCATTTGTGCTCACCAGCCCCTTGAGTGAAACCCTAATCGAGTGTGAGCATTGGAGCTAAGTAGGAGGCCATTATTGACCTTGGAGGTGCCATTGTTGCAAGGAAAGGAGAAGAGCTAGCCAAGGGAAAGCAAGAAGGAGCCATTTCTGTGGGTTTGGAGTCCAGAGCATCACTTTTGTGGTAATAAATCCGAGTTACCTTCTTGTTGTTATTGCTTATCTAGATTTAGGGTTTGTTGAACCCTTTTATGGCAAGATTTGGTGCTCTTTTGGTCCCTTATGAGGTTGGAACCATAGATCTGGACCCTTAGAGGTCCAGAGTGTCCCTTTACCCAAGCTTTTTGGGGATCAATGGAGGCTTTGGATTGGAATCCTCATGCCTTGGGTCAAAAACGCCATTATTGAGTTATAGGGTGTGTTATGAGCACCAAGATAGGAGCTTTACGTGATGAATCAGTCGAGGGAGGCCAGATCTATAGTTTTTGGAAGCAGATCTGACCTTAAAAGCGAGTTGGAGTGGTTGCATGGCATGGACTCGCCGAGTCTGTTCATCCGACTCGGCGAGTAGCTTGAAGATTGCCTTGGGACTGCTCTACGAGTGGTCCAAATCGAGTCATGGGTAGACTGAGTGAGTCAGGGTGAGTTGGAGAGGGATGACGAGTGGACTGATTCAAACCTGGACTCGCCGAGTTGTCCTTGAGACTCGGCGAGTTGAGTCGGGGTGGCCCCGCGATTCATTCAGGTGAAACTCGTCGAGTAAAGGGGGGGATACTCGACGTGTAGTAAGAGGATTTCAGAGGGTGGTGAAAACGTCTAGACTCGCCGAGTCGCCATGGTACTCACCGAGTCCGGTCAGAGTTGACCGTTGACCGTTGACCAGAGTTGACCTGTGTTGACTCCTTATAAATAGTCAACCTTAGAGATACAAAGTGTTAATTAGAAGCATATAATGTTATAGGAGGATTAGAGCTCGGAGGATCGAGCACGAGGGATTTCCAGGATACGTGAGATACCGAGATACGCGAGGTGAGTCTTCTCACTATACTATATTACCTTGAGTAGGTAACCTGAGTTATGTGATAGAGTATTGTATGCTGTGTATGTTATGTGTTGTACTGCATTATTTCTATGTGATTTATGTAGTGCATGTTTATCAGAGCTAGAACCTGAGGGTTCACAGAGTTTGGGTGCACGGACCCACAGAGTTATAGCCTCGAGTGGCTAATATGTGTTATATGTGGTATTTTGGGGAACTCACTAAGCCCTGTGCTTACAGTGTTGATGTTATTGTTTCAGGTACTAGTGACGACCGCGGGAAGGCGCTGGCTTGATCCGTACACACACACACTCGGAGTTTTACATTGTGATCTTGGGATTTTGTATTGACCTATTTTGGATAATTAATATGGTTGTTTGAGGAATATTAATGGAATTATGTTTTATAAGAAAATTGAAAATTTTGTACTGAAATTTACGGTGTTACAGCACCCTTAAGTAAAGTAGTGAGCTTAATACCTTCAAAGAGTTCCAGAAGATGATGTTATCTCAGATCTATAAGCTTTGGCTTCCAAGGTTCCTCCTTTCTAATCTTCTTCTTTTCTCTTCCAAGTTTTAAACCACCAAAATGAGCTTCCCAAGGTCAAGATCTCACAAAATGAAGGTTCGGGCATTCTAGGGTTTCTTCTGAAGTTGGGGAGGCTGATATGGGGGCTAGGGTTGAAGCCATTAGTTCTTTATAAAGTGGCACTGCCAAAAATAGGGTTTAAAGGCTTTTAGCGTATGCTAGGCGTACTTCTCGTACGACTTCAACACCTGCGATCAATTGCCCCGCTACGCTGGGCGTACCCAGCTAAACACACGTGTGCGCTTCGTGCATGCTAGGAACCGCCTTGTTAACTATTCCATTAAGGGACCATAAATGTTAATATCTTCAAAGTGTCATAACTCCTTCATTCTAGATCCGTTTCCGATGAACTTTATACCCACAGAAAGGTGGCAAGAAGCCTTACGCTTCTAACAACACACCCCGGTCCGAAACTTTCTTGAATAATACCTCTAAAATTCATAAAGGACTAAAACACCCCTAGCCTTGGCCTCCGAATTTCCATAATTGAATAATTTAGAACAGGGCGTTACAGTCCAACATCAATCCAAGTAATAGATACAATTAAATTCTGAATTAGGATTAAATATTAATATTCAATTGATTCAAATCAGGGTTATCTGCTAAACACCACAATTATATAAAGACCCCTCCAAGCCTTCATACTTTCACGCATCTTAACCTCCTGAAAGGTTGAAGAATTTAATTCTCACCTCTTCCCCCTTATCTCTAAAATTTTACATTTTTAGTCTTTTAAGTGTGAACCATTAGAGGCATTCCTACTTTGGGTGCTAGTACTTCCAAGAAGCAACACAAGTGTTCGTGATCTTCAAGTGGACTTAATTATATACTATTATACTTGTAAGGTTAGTATTCTATTATTTTGTTAGTTTGTTTTCATAGTTTTGAAAGTATGTTACAATCATAGTAAAAACCTAGATCTTATGGTGCATGTACAGTTAGGATTCATTTGAATGCTTCAATTGCCTAAATCTAGTATAAAATTGCATAGAAAATCCAACAGTGACAATCAAAAGATCCGAATGAAACGACGATGAGCTTATAATGATCACATATGGACATGGGGCAACTAAGGTTGAACTGGCGATTCCAGGTTTGGTTTATTGGAGTTTCAAAAAGGGTTGTTAGGGGTGGGATGAGTGAAGAACATATGATTTGTAGAGAGTTGTTGGTGCCATTTTGACACTGCTAGACAAGAGGTTGTAGGAAAGATTAATGATTGTGTTATGAGAATCTTCATTTGTGGATGAATAAATCTTAAGTAAAGTTTAGTGACTATGTTATAGGAATCTTCATTTGCAGATAATGGGGGAGGTAAGCCTCCATATAATCTACCAAACATTGTTTGATGAACAATGATCAATTGAAGAAATATAACAAAGAATCCTAATATGAAACTTTCGATATATATATATATATATATATATATATATATATATATATATATATATATATATATATATATATATATATATATATATAGAAGTACATTCACCGTAGAGAGAGCGAATGAACAAATGGATTTTTTATTTTTATAATAGACAAATAAATTATTTTACATATAAAAAGAGGATAATATCATCATTTCATAAAATTTAGCATACTAGTTAAATAGGTTTTAAAACAAATGACCAAATCTATAATGAAACTTATGAAATTTGAAATGTTAGAACCAACCAAAACTAAAACAAAGACCAAATCTACAAAAAAAAAAAAAAAAAAAAAAAAAAAAAAAAAAAAAAAAGGAAAACTAAAGGGATCAAATTTGTAGTTTTCTCTAAATTTCCATCACTGAACAACTAGGCTTTACTGCGCTCTCTCTCTCTCTCTCTCTCCTTGCTCATAAAACCAAACGTTGCTTCAGCTATCTGCTCAATTTCCAGATACATATAAATTTGTGTCGGGGTTCCATTCGGGTTAATACTACCCAAAGATTGTGTTATTCCAGCATAAATTCATTCTTCGCCGGTGAATCGGCCATGGATTCCTTCTCGACATCTGCTTGAAGAGGTCTGTGTACGCCTTTCCACTTTATCTATAATTCCCTCTATGCTCAAATTGCTTCCAAGGGTGATTATTCTGCATATCCAAAAGCATATAAGCCTCCCGCCCCCTTTTTAGCATCCCTTTCACAAGGGTTTTAGGTATACTTACGAAGAAATTGGCATACTAGGGTTACTAATTTGTTCATATTATGATTGTTGTAACAAATCACAGACCTGTTCGTTAGCCTAAAGGAATCAGAATTCAGATAAAAAAAAAGATGTCGGATGTGGACCACTTAATAGCCAAGAAAGTAGCTGATCGATACCTGAAACGTGAAGTTCTTGGAGAAGGTACCTATGGTGTCGTCTACAAAGCCATTGATACTAAGGTATTCCTACACTATCCTTACCATTTGATGTATCTTCTGTATACAACTTTTGAAACCTGTAAATTTAGATGCTGTAGATCATAAAGATGGCGATTGAGAATTTGAGATTAGGTTTAGTGATATGATATTATATGTTCAATTTAACCTAAAAGTATCCATGAAGATAATTGATGTACATGAACTCTATTTTTTGTCTCACAAGTGACATTTTCAGTAAATTATTTCTTTATTACAACATTCAACTTCTATTTCTTCTTATCACAATAACAACATTGTACTTCACTACTTTGACAAATCTACCATATTATTGTTATCTTATCTCTTGCATATAATATTTATAATAATAAGTTATGGATTTTGTGACAGAGTGGACAAACTGTTGCAATAAAGAAAATCCGGCTTGGAAAGCAGAAAGAAGGGGTGAATTTTACAGCACTTAGAGAAATAAAGTTACTGAAAGAGCTCAAGGATCCAAACATAATAGAACTTATTGATGCTTTTCCTCATAAAGGAAACTTGCATCTTGTTTTTGAATTCATGGAGACTGATCTTGAAGCTGTTATTCGGGATAGGAACATTGTTCTTTCTCCCACTGATATTAAATCTTACCTTCAAATGACATTGAAAGGACTTGCTTTTTGCCATAAGAAATGGGTTTTACATAGGTAAAGTTTATCCAATGTGGGTGTAAAATTACCTTTCTAACCCTTGTACTTTACACTTTGTATAAAAACTACCTTCATAATTGGGTGTAAAATACCAAAACATACTTTTATATAACCATTGTACTTAAGTTTCGCTTTCAAATGCAAGAAATAGCACAACGTAGTTTTATATAAAGTGTGAAACATGATTGTTATAAATGTAATTGATGATAATTTACTTTTTTTTTTTTGGTTATTATTTTTAGGGATATGAAACCAAATAATCTGTTGATAGGACCTCGTGGACAACTAAAACTTGCAGATTTTGGTTTGGCGCGTATATTTGGTAGTCCTGACAGAAGGTTCACTCACCAGGTATTCTTTTTCATTCACTTTTACAAAAATACTAAATTAAAAAAAAAAACATTTTTTTAAATAATTTCCGATACTAAGCTTCATTTCTTATTCACTCAACGAATACAAGACTTAACTTTTTAGTTTTCACAAATCACCCCTTATTTCTTTTTCTTCCATTTCTCCAACCATGCCCAAACTCGGCTTATATTTTATGTTTTACCAAAGGTCGAAGATTAAAAAAGATTTTCGATATAATTTTTTTCTTTCTTTCCCATATTTTTGGGTTATCATCAAGTTAAAGAAACAATCAAATGATGTTTGTTAGATTTTTGCATGGCATGTCTGTACTGTGTTTGATATGTATTGGACTGAGACTCAGGTGTCAATAAGAAAAATTTGCAACTTTTCATCCCACCCAAAAAGGTTTAACAAAGACTATCTATCGTCTAAGTAAAAGATATAAATACCCTCCTAATCCTCATCATTGAAAATAGTCCTAGAAAGAATAACAATAACAATTAACAATTAGAGTAAATTACACGAATGGTCTTATTTTTTTAACTCGGAAGGTCCCTACTGTTTGTTTTTGTTGCGCGCTTGGTCTCTGTCTTACCTAAAAAGACTATTTTGCCCTTGATTTTTTAATTTATTTAAATAAGATGGGGTAGCTAAGGTAAGGTAAGGTGAGGTGGAAGTGGGGTTGGGGGTGTGTTTATTTAAATAAATTAAAAAATCAAGGGCAAAATAGTCTTTTTAAGTAAGACAGAGACCAAACGCACAACAAAAACAAATAGTAGGGACCTTCCGAGTTAAAAAAATAAGTTAGGGATCAAACGTGAAAATTACCCCAAACCATAGGGACCATTCATGTAAATTACTCTAACAATTAACAGTGACAATATCTTTGGAAACCATTTAATTTCTTAAAAAATAAAAAATAATAAATAATTATGATTAGGTATTTGCTCGATGGTATAGAGCACCAGAGCTCTTATTCGGAGCAAAACAATATGGTCCGGGGGTTGATGTTTGGGCGGCAGCTTGTATATTTGCTGAGCTTCTTCTACGCCGCCCGTTTCTACAGGTCAGTTATTGATATTAAAAAGCAAAACAAAACATATTTAATGATTAATTTGATTTTTTTTTTTTTTAATTAGGGTAGCAGTGACATCGACCAATTGGGTAAAATCTTTGCTGCATTTGGGACTCCAAAAGCTTCTCAATGGCCCGATATGATTTATCTGCCCGACCATGTTGAATATCAGTATGTTCCCGGGCAGCCACTTCGGGCACTTTTTCCAATGGCAAATGATGATGCCTTGGATCTTTTGTCCAAGATGTTTGCTTATGATCCAAAAGCTAGAATTTCAGCTCCAATGGCATTAGAACATAGGTAATTTTTATTCTACATCTTATATCTTCCTTCTATTTAACAACAACCTATCATAAAAAATCTTCTCCCATGGATTTTTTATTATTATTATAGTAAATTACTGAAATCGTCCATGTGGTTTGGTCAAAATTGCACGTTTGATCCCTACATAAAGTTAGGGACCAAACATGCGGTTTTTACCAAATCATAAGGACGAAAAACGCAACAAAATCAAACCTAGGGACGATCCGAGTGCAAAAAAAAAGTCAGGGATCAAATGTGCAATTTTGACCAAACCACAGGGACGATTTCAGTAATTTACTCTTATTAGAGTAAATTTATAAATAAGCTTCCATTAGAGAATCTGAATCTCTTAGGGCAGGACAGTGTGAATCTCTTAGGGCAGGACAGTGTGGACCAACTCGGGGGTTGTTGGAAGAATATTTTTTTTTAGAGAAAGTTTTTGGGATTAAATTTTGTAATGTGGTAGGTACTTCACTTCGGGACCTCCTCCTACAGAACCGGCTTTGCTTCCACGGCCTCCACCAAAGAGGGAGTCTGTAGACTCAAAGCCGCCCTCGGATGGTGGTGGTGGCCCCACGGTGTTATCACCTACAAGAAAATCAAGAAGAGTAATGCCACATCAGCATGACCATGGAAATGAAAGAAGTGGACCCGCACCAATGTCACTAGATTTTTCTGTCTTCGCCGCAAGGCCGCCAGCTAGACCGACAATTAACAGGTAAATAGCAACCTACTTTCATTCCTTTTTATTATAGACATTTTGATTTTTTTTTTTTTTTCCTTCAGTGCTGACAGAAGCCATTTGAAGAGAAAATTAGACCTGGAATTCCAAGTCCCCGAAGAAGATTGATGAAATTGAAATTTTAAACATGTCAGATTTAATTATATATTTATATATTATTTTTATTGTATTGGACTAGTGGAATTTTTGTGATCCGAATAATTGATGTATTTTTGATAATTAATCAGACATGGAATTTAGACTTACGATGTCTAACTGATATAGAATCATGACTGGACGCTTTTTGTGGTATAAAAATAGTTGTGATTGTTTGTTTAATATTGAAATAATGTGTTGAGTCCGATATAATTATTTTGGTGTAAAGAAATTCATAAACTAGTTTTGGTTGGTATTTATGGTTGTCAAATGATTTTCTATGAAAGGGATAATGTTATTATAAGCCAACAACTATTAAGTATGGTTCTTCGTGACAAATACACCTGAAGACATGAGTGTGGAATTTATTCCATGAACATGGCGAAGTAGAGACAAATACATAATAAGGAAGAAATCAGTTAGCAGATCAATATTTGTGTTTATCAAATTCAAGAGTGCCATAAACGCTAAATGTAACACCTGAAAAATCAATACAAAGTAAAAACCTAAATATTTAATTTTTAAATTTACAAACATCTATTTGTATGTTTATATCAACTTGTAGTATACAAGTAGTTATCAAATGGCTAATATACCACCATCATATATGAAGATCCAATCCGAGCATTACAATCATAAATGATCATTTTATGATTCTATGCCTCAACTACTAGCTTTATGTCCTTATTGGACACAACAACAAATAAATGTTAAGCGAATGAAACGTTAATGAGTAACCTAGTTTGCATACACTAGTAACATCAACAGTCATACCGATTGAAATTCACATCTTCATGCTTAATAAAAATCTCCCTTTAAATGCCACATGCCCGTCTTATAGAACTCATTGTTTTCACCTCTGTGGGTATCTTCTCACTTATTTTCCTGCTTACTTTTTCACCGACATCCGTCCCTCAAAATTTGAAATTGATTTTGCATATCTGTGATTGTAGCATGATTATGCGACTTTTTCCCCTCTTTCCTTATCGATCCCCTGAATTTTGGGATTCAATATTTTCAGTTCAAAATCTCTTTCGCCATTTTTGAAAGGGTATTGTTATTCTTACCCTACTTTCAGTAATCATACCCTTTTAATTATTATTTTTTAGGTAGTTGACTTTTGTTTATTCCAGTTTTTGAAAATTTCAGAATTATTAGCCAATTAATATATACGTGAAAAGTAGTGTTCTTGATAGCCTCAATCTTTTCAGTTTTTTTTCATAGAAGACTGTGTTTTTTTTGAAAAAATAAGTTTCACTTCTAAAAACAATACAATATCAATACTGGAACCAACAATTACATTGTAAAAAACAAACGCATTGTCAATCCACTTAATCACATAATAAACTACAATACTCAGTATATAAACAAATAAAATAAGTAAGATTAACTAAAATATTAACAAATATTAAAAAATCTATTAATCTAAAGCCATCCCGGAACCATATCTTCAACAACCGCCGGCGGCCGGCAATATATTGCCAACACTAACAGTGCCGGTGCCATCTTTGTCGGAGAAGAGAGACACGAAAAAAATAGCCACTGAGAAGTGAGGAACGGGAAATAGATAGTCCGAAACGTTGGAAGCGTCGCCGGAAAACGTGTTAAAATCAACTGAAAACACGTTAATCTCGAGTGAAGGAGAGGGAAACATCACGGGAAAACTTGCTAAACTCAAGTGAAACGTCGGAGAAATAACGCCTGAAACGTCTGAGACGCATTGACAACCACCAGTTTTGCAACATTTATCGCCGGAAATGTGTGTAGTCGACAGAAGTGTTGCCGGAAAACTCATGAACTGAACCGAACTGTTGCCGGAAAACAAATGATGCTCGCTTGAAGGTGAAGGTCGATGGAAATCTCATGAGGTCCACCGGAAAAAGCTAATCGTCTGAAATCATTGGCCGCAAGAAATCGCTGCTCTCTTTCACTCTTGGCGGCTGCGTTTTTAAAGCTAGGGTTACCACAAAGTAAGGAATTTATACCTTATAAATTTACATTAATAACCTCTTTATTTTTAAAAAATGTCATTGTTTACCCTTTATATATATATATATATATATATATATATATATATATATATATATATATATATATATAAAGATTCTGCATATATATTTATTTATTTTAACAAAAGAATCGTCATTTTTTTTCCTTAAATTTACAAATATAATGTTTACAAAAGAACGTCTGCTTTTCATTTATGCATATATGTTGTTTACACTTAAATTACATAAACTTTAAAAACTTGTACAATTAATTTTTGATGTTTCTTTTAATAGATTACATAAGCTTTAAAAATTTGTACAATTAATTTTTGGTGTTTTTTTAATAGATTACATAAACTTCAAAATTTTGTACAATTAATTTTTGGTGTTTTTTAAAAAGATTACATAAACTTCAAAAATCTCTTCTAGACGACGGAATCTGCTCTCCCGCATTGGACCGCTATTGGACGGCTGCATTCACTTTTGTAGGGCAGAAAGAGAAGTAAGTCATTTTATATTCTATAAATTTACATTTGAAACCCACCTATTTTGAGGATATTTTAAAATATACCCTTTAACTTTATAAAAGTATTAAAAGAAAACGTTCGAGGGTGTAGCTTTTCACGGCCTCTTGTTTTTGTCTAATGATGAATTAAATTTTTATAATATATTTTTAGTTTTCAAAAACAAATTATAAATTCAGTTTACAATCTCCATACTTTATGAAATAAATTTGTTGCCGGAGGTGTGGCTTTTCACTGCCTCAAGTCATTTTGCATTTATAGAATTAAACTTCATTTGTTTTTATCTAACGATGGACTATATATATAAGAATTAGCTTTATTTTTTCATAACTTGAAAATTAAAAAACTAATGAAACTCATAAAATGTCATTCTAATTTTTATTTTTATTTTTATTTTATCTAACGGGTGGAATAAGGCATCATATTTAATTTTTAATTGATTACATAAATTTTAAAAAGTTGACATATTTAATTTTCATTAATATAGTTTTTTATTTTAATAATATTAAATTATTTGATTTTTTTTTTTGTATATAGAGATGTTTAAGTTATTTGGAATCAACGTATTTGCTCGAGATGAAGATACTTCTATCAAGAATTCGCCATTTTCCACCAAACAGGTTATATACTTCTACCACATAATGAAGTTTTATATTTTTCTTATAAACTAAAACACTTAAAATTCAATTTTAGATGTTCAAGTATCGTGAGGAATTGTTTGAGTGGACACAAAACAAAGCACGCTCTCTAGGGTATGCCATTATCAATAAAAGATCAAAGGCATATGTCAACAACTTCGTGTATAAAGTCATACTTATGTGTGATCGTGGGGGTGAATATAAAGCTACTAACACGGTTAGAGCATCTGGAACCAGAAAGACTAATTGTAAGTTTGAACTGGAAGGAAAGTATTCAAAAGAACATAATAAATGGAGGCTGAGGGTAATATGTGATGATCATAATCATCCGCCTGCACAACATATGGAGGGTCATCCATATGTAAGACGGTTATCTGTTGAGGAGACTCGTTTGGTGGAAAATCTAACAAGAAAGAACTTGGCGCCACGTGATATTCTGTCAACCTTAAAGGCGCAAAACGAAAATAATGTATCGGTAGCTCAAACAATATATAACGCACAACAAAAGATCCGCAAACGCGAGCAAGCAGGAAAAACTCCAATGCAGGTTCTTATGTCCCTTTTGCACACCAATAATTATTTGTATGAGCTTACTACAGGCGATTCAAATGAGTTGGAGAATCTATTTTTCATCCATCCAACGTCTTGGAAGATATGGCGTGTATTTCCACATGTGTTGATGATAGATGCCACCTACAAAACGAACAAATATAATAAGCCGCTTGTAGAAATTGTTGGTATGACCTCAACTCGGAAGACATTCTCTGTAGGTTTTGCCTTTATACATAGAGAAAAAGAGGCCAACTATACTTGGGTGTTAAACTGTGTAAAGTCAATACTCGATAAGTGTATGCACCCACGTGTAATAATCACGGACAGATAGTTGGCACTCATCAATGCATGTCAAACAGTGTTTCCGGATGCAGCACGGTTACTTTGTAGATGGCATATTGAGCAAAACATTTTAAAAATTTCCAGCAAGATTATAACATTGGGTTGATCAACATCTCAATTTTGGAAACAACACGACCAATAGAGCGGAAAGTCAACATTCCAAGTTAAAGAAAATTTTAAACTCTTCAAACTCTAATCTTGATAAATTCGTGCAACGAATTAATCAAGTCGTGCAATCACAACTTACTTCGATCTATGAAAGCTTTGAAAATAGCTTGATTGTTCGCTACAATCACCATAACTTATCGTGTTTCCAATTGTTGTGGGGCCATGTTTCAAACGAAGCTTTAGATATAATATTAGGAGAGGTTCAAAGGTTGGGTGATGTAATGTTAGACTCCTCAAATTGTGGTTGCAAACTACGTAACAGTTGTGGGTTACCATGTGCTTACATGCTTTCTTTCTATTCGATTTCAGGTTAGTATGTTTAATTACAACATATAAATAGATTTTTAAATATTAGATAAATAATTATTTTATATTTCAATACAGGTGAAAGTATACCCTTGGATTCAATAGATATCTTTTGGAGGAAGCTTGATATTTCAGATACGACATCTTTAGTTGACGACGATATTAATTGTGATGATGTAGTGGATAAATATAAAGAAAACTTCAACAAGTAATCGAAAGCTGGGAAAATGTTTTATAGGAGAAAGCTAGAAGAGATATATGATCCGCATAAAATTGATGTTGGAGAACCTACGGTTCAAAAAAACACACGTGGACGACCAAGTGTGATGAAACAACAGAAAAAGACAGTCAATCCTCCAAATCATGTTCCTCGTAGATGCAGCTTCTCAACCACGTCGGAGTTTAATGGGATGGATTTAAATAAAGAACCTGAAAGACATAGCTTTTCGTGTGGGATTGACTTAAATGATGAACCCCAACGTCATAGCTTTTCGTGTGGGATTGACTTAAATGATGAACCCCGAAGGCATTATCCATTCCAAATGAATGGTATTCCAGATATATTTCATGATTACATCGACGATATACATGATGTAGAAGGTGATGGAAATTGTGGGTTTCGAGCGATAGCTGTTTGTTTGGGGTATAATGAAGACCAGTGGCTTTATATTCGAAAACAATTGCT